ATATTGGCATTTTTACCACCTTTAGCATTTAACATTATATTATGCTATAAACATTCAGATCCTGCTCCACTGGTTATTCTGGAAGTATGCGTTAAATTGTCTATGACATTCATAACTGTGAAATATAGTTCTAAAGAAAAGCAAATTGATTTAAAAAATCAGACAACAAAAAGTTTCAAAAATTAATTAGGATGGAGTTTTGAAAATAATCGTTTTTAATTTTTTTAGAGACTGATTTTTGCTATAGGGCATATGCACTTGCCATAGAGACAAAGAGAGAGAGAGAGAGACAGAGAGAAAGCAAGAAATCATCCTTTAAGGAGAGAGCTATCCATAGTCCCTTCTCCCCTATTCTCTTTCTTAGATCTTGGGCACACACACATGCCATCCATGATTTTGAAGGCACTGGGTACAGGACTCGAACCATGGTCAGCCATATGAGAGTCCAGTGACATAATTGCTATGGCATCTGCTGGTCGCCAAAGGTAATCTTAACATGACCAATGAAAGAAGATTTTGTAATCTCCATCTAGAGGACTGTGAGTGGTAGGAATTTATAATCTGTAAAGATCTGTAGAATCATTAGTCCAGTTAGAGATAGGTAAAATTGTATGTAACAAAAGGTCATTAGGAAGAGATAGAAAAAGAAAACATACTTATGCGCTGTGAATTCCCTGAGATCATAATACTGTACTGTGCATAAAGAATTAAGTCCCCCCACCCATACATTGAAATGCGATGTTTAAAAGCAAAGACATTATCAAGTCGGTGATTCAGTGATTATAGCTTTACATCCTTTTTGGTTTTAGCCTTCTTTAAATTCATTCCAAAGAAAACCTGAGCTACTTATAACAGTTTGGATTTTTCCTTTGTTATCTAGTTTTATACAATGAGTAATAGTTATGACAAATAAATAAATTGAAACTTATGGAGACAACTGTCTATCAAATAATTGGTGAATTTGTTCATAAAACTTTCTATGTGTAGAACAGTTGAATCTGCATTTTTAGCACCTACGTGTAGAACAGTTGAATCTGCATTTTTAGCAGGGAAATTCAATCCTGACTGTCAATATTATTATCTATGTGTGTGGACTTAACTTTTGTTCTAGTTGTTTTGTGTTCTCTTACTTCTATTTATCTTTCTTAATTTTCCTGGTGTAGTATTCCCTTAAGTATTTCCTGAAGAGCTGGTTTAGTTTTAGTGAATTCTTTCAGCGTTTGTTTATCTGGGAATTATTTTATTTTTCTTTCTCCTTTGAAGGATAATCTTGCCAGGTATAATACTCTTGGCAGAAATTGTTCTTTCAGCGTTTTAAATGTCTTCCCATTCTTTCCTTGCCTGCATTGTTTAATTTGAGAGGTCTGATATTAGTCTACTGGTATAAACTTTGTAAGTAACTTGGCATTTCTCTCTTGTCATTTCCAGAATGTTTTCTTGGAGTTTTATCAATTTGGCCTTGGAGAGGATCTTCTTATGTTATATATATATATATATTCAGTGTTTTTTATATTTTCTGGATTTGGATTTCCACATGCCTCTCTAAATTTGGAAAGTTTTCGGCAGCGTATCATGAAAGAGATTTTCTATGCCTTTTGTCAGTCTTGTCACCTTCTGGAATACCTATTATGCAAATATTTAATGGTGTCTAGGATTTCTGGTATGTTGTCCTGATTTTTCCTTTTCTTTATTTTTTTAAAAAGTTTTTTGCCTTAGGGCACATGCAATTGACAAAAAGACAGAGAGAGATAGTGAGAGAGGAGGAGAAATCATGCCCCCAGGGAGATGGCCATGCCATAATCTCTTGACCTTCATTCTCCTCTCGGGATTTTTGGCATACATGCACATGCACCCAGCATGATTTTTTAAGCCACCAGGTCTGGGACTCCAACCACATTTGTTCATGTAAGAGTCCAGTACTTTAACCACCATACCACCTGTTGCCCCCTGCCCCCCCGCAGTGGTGTTTGACATAGAGTGCATCCCCGTGCCAGAGAAAGACAGAGAGACAGTGAGAGGGAAGGGGAGAATTACCCCTAGGGGTGATGGCCACACTGCAGTCCCTTCTCCTTCATTCTCTTCCGGGGATTTTGGGCATGCATTCACATGTGCTGCCAGTTTGGTTTTCAAGCCACCAGGTCTAGGACTAGAACCACAGTTGACCATGTGGGAGTCCAGTGCCCTACCACCATGCATTCTGTTGGCCCCTGTTGCACTGATTTTTAATGATTATTCTTTCATTAGTTTTGGTTACTTTGACTAAATTGGAGGTAATGTATTCAAGGTCAGAGATTCTTCTGTGTGGTCTAATCTGCTGCTGATATTTTTGAGTGAGGTTTTGACATCTTACATTGTAGAAATTCTGTTTGATTCTTTTTCAGTATGTCTACCTCTTTTTGGAGTTCCTCTTTCAAATCATGGAAGGATTTTCTTATCTTCTGGAATTACCTGTTTTCTCTTGCATCTTACTGATTTTTGTTACAACAAATATTCTAAATTCTTTTTCTGACATTTCTGTAATCTCTTGTGTTTTATCCATTGTTGGTGAGGAGTTATGATAATCCCTTGTGAAGGGTATATTTCTTAGTTTTCTCTTATTTCCTAACTTGCTGCTTGATTTTTAGTCACCTGGTAATGAGCTAAATTCTTTCTTCTTCTATGTAGAATGTTTCTTTAGCTGTGTGTTTGTGCCCTTCCCTGTGGTGTGCATTAATGCTGTGCCAGTTTCCCTCCTCTATTGTGGGTGGGAGTGTGGAATTCTCAGTAGTTTGGGTTTCAGATTTTCAAAGGAGAGTTTCTCTCCTTTTACTGCTATCGGGGTTGAGAGGAGAGAGAATTCCCCAGAGTCTCCTGGCTTTAAGGATTTGATTCCTGTATAACCAAATGTGGATGGAGGTTGAGCTGAGTAGGTAGAATGTAAGGTGGTAGACCACTTGTGAGCTGTACAAATGTGCCGTGGGGGCCTGAGCAAGTGGGATGGTGGTCCCTGATGAGCTCAAACCAAACAGTTTGGGTCTCCCGGTTGTTCCTAGATTTGTGAGGGGCAGCTTGGAATCAGCACACGTGGGGCAGCAGCTCCCACCTTCTCTCTCTCTGAGATTGCAGGATCTAGGTATTGATTGCCAAAAATACCAGATAAAGATTCTGTTCTATGAACATATAACTATTGCTATAACAAAGCTATGTTAGGGACCAGCAGATGGTGTAATGATTACGTTACTGGACTCCCATATAGTTGACTGGTTCGATTCCCAGACCTGGCTTCTTAAAACTCACAGCGAGTACATGTGGGTATGAGCCCAAAATCCCAAGAGGAGAATGGAGGAGAAGGGATTACGGCGTGACCATCCCCTCTGGGGAGTGATTTCTTGCTTCCTGTCCCCCTCTCTCTGGTGATTCATGTGTCCTTAGAACAAAAATCTCTCTCTCTAAAGAAAAAAAAAAAAAAACATGTTCAGGTACATAATTGTTGGAGTTTTGATGCTTTTTGAAGTCATCTGATAATCTCATGACATCACTCTAGCAGCTCCGAATGTTCTCCAAATTAACTATTCTTGGTCAAATCTGTGTAAGGTTTAGGATCCCCCTCATCCTCCATCATTGCCTTTTCCAGTGGTGTACCACTGAAGAATCTTCGTGATATTTCCTTCCTTAACACTTTTATTTCTATTATCAAAGGAAGTCTTACCACCCATGTAAGTAGTAATGATGGGATGCTTTGTTTATTCTGGTGGTAAGTTGAAGGGTATTTATACTATTTTGCAAGACAATTTATTTTTTATTTTTTTATTTTTTGGAGAGATTTTCGCTATAGGGCGCGTGCGCTCGCCAGACAGACAGAGAGAGACCTATAGAGACAGAAAGCGAGAAATCACCCCCCAGGGGGGATGGTCACGCCGCAATCCCTTCTCCTCCATTCTCCTCTGGGGATCATGGGCACGCACGCACACGCGCCCGGCGTGAGTTTTAAGCCAGCGGGTCCGGTACGCGAACCGCGGTTGACTACGTGGGAATCCAGCAACATAGCCATTACGCTAACTGCTGGTTCCCGCAAGACAATTTTTAAATGTTTCTGAATTCTGGTTGTGCAACTAACTGTCTGTGCATTAAAGGCACTTGGGGGCAGCAACCAGTACAACCATCTGGTTGTGGACACCGGCTGTGTTTCCAGGATACTACTGTTAGTGATTATCTTTTCAGCTCAGCATACTGAAGCCACCTTAGAGTTTTACAGTATGACATTGTAAATGTGCTTGTAAGGAGGAGATTTGCTCCAGGTCTGTCTGAGGGGAACACTTCCCCTCTGCAAAGATTTCTCCAATTCTAATATTTTTTATTTTCAATTCTAATACCTAAATACTGTTTAGAATTTTTCATTTGAATGAAATTTCGCCTTTAGGGTTTTACTAATTTTGTGCCATGTGTCTTTGAAACATTTCATTTCAGCGCTTAACTTGCAGCACCAACTTACTGATAATTTATTGGCTTAGCAGTGTACCTGTGACATCTCTCTTAATTTAGTACATTCTAGCTTTGCTTTATTAGATGGCTGTATATGTATTTTTACCCTTGAAAACTATCTCCGTTTTTTATTGTCATAAACCATAAACTCAAGGGAGCTTGACGGTGGGCAAATCTACACGAAAAAGAAAGGCCATAGTCCAGAAAAAACTAATTCACCCACCCAGAAAATTATGTCCCCTTCCTCTTATGCGAATTCTTTCCCTTCTAGATTCATATGAACCAGGTGCGAAGTCGATAGATGGGCTTACACAGACAGCTCTGAGAGCTTAGCCCAGCGTGGAAAATGGGCCAGCCCTGAACGTCCTCAGGCTAGGTCAGTGCCTCTCCTCCCTAGGTTCCCGGCTTCTGCAGCAGGTGTCTCCTGTCCCCGCTGCCCTGGGCGTGACTGTGACCGCGCGGGTTCCCCGCCCCTCTCGGCGCCGCCGCAGTGCGCGGAACCGGGTTGGTCCTCACCGCCAGCGCACGGGAGTGGCGCGCTCCAGAGCTGGCGCAATTTCCCTGCGTGGTACCCGCCCTGCATCCTCCTCTAGGCTCCCTCCCAGCGCCGGCTGCAGCCCCAGGCCCCGTCATGGGGAATGTGCCATCTGCAGTGAAGCATTGCCTCAGCTACCAGCAGCTTCTCCGGGAGCATCTCTGGATCGGGGATTCAGTGGCAGGGGCGCTCGACCCCGCGCAGGTACCACCTCGCGGCCCAGGGTGTCCCCACACTCTCCGTTATTCTCTAAGTGCCCTGCTCCCCTGTTTATATAACCCACACACCCTGGGGCTCTTCCTGTGGCAGTTCCTGTTAGGCCGCACCCCTTGAAAGGTTTCCCATTGTATCTCTGCTGTGAACGTGTGGACCCACTCAACCCTACAGATCAGACCCAGCAAAATTTTTACTTGTGACCATTTCGGGTCGCCTAAAGGAAAGGAGTCCTATTCCGTGCTTATCTTGGAAGGAGTGCCTTATTTCTAAACAGCTTATCATTTGTATCGGTTGGCATTTCTTCAAGGACAGTGCCATTATTCTTGGTTCCCTTCTTGTACTATGTAACAAAAATATCAAATTTGTTATAATGTGAGCCATAAACGAAAAAAGGAAAGTTAGACATAGTAAGATAAAATTACCCACTAGATCATTAATTATTTCTAATTTATTTATGCTTTGACAAACTTGAGCAAGCTTAAAAAGTAGAAAATGACACTGATTTCAGACTAAAATTTATTCTCACATTATTATTGAAAGCCCATGTAAAGACAACAGGCAACATAAAAACATCCACATACTTATTATTTAATGCCCTCTCAAGGAAAATTGTCAGCTAAATGAGAAAAACATGTAAATAAATTTACTTTTTCCTTGAAAAAGATTAAAATTTGAAATTTCACAAAATATTAAGTAACAGTAACAATTCTTATGTAAATGCTAAAACATGGAGAAAAAGAGGACTCTATAAAGGTATAGTATTTTTTGAGTTACAGGTATGGATGCAAAATATTTCTAGTTCCTGTGAATAAAATAATAATATGCATTTTAATTAGTAAGAATAATCTTAGTACATAAAGTTAAGTCAACTCTGATCTTAAGTGTTCATTTGTCTAGTGCAGTGAAGTGAAATTATAAATCTTACCCCTAAGAATTAGAATTCAGTATTTGTGAATTCTTTAAACATGCTTTCAAAACCTGTTGATGACTATGGTGCATGAAGTTATCCTCTATCTTCTGTGTTCACCTGTTTAATTTTTCTACATGCTGTTTTGATCTTCCATTATAAACTTTAATCTTACCATTCCTAACTTTCCATAGTGAGTCTGTTATGTAGCCAGGAATCTTTACCTTTCGTTCTCTAAGTCTGAGACATTCTGTAGCTTTTGTTCCTGGGTGAATGTTATTGACTCTCTCCCTCACCGTTCTGAATTTCGCATTGTGGACTGTGGAAACGACAAAGGACAGGCTGTTGGGTAAGAATGTCTACTTTGCCCTATTGAGCCATGATGCAAATGACTAAAATTACTGATCGAGGAATGTTAGGAATAAGACTTTGGGACATCCATAAACCTAATGAAGACTTTTGCTTATTTCTAGAGAAATATAATAGTTATGCCTTCAATAAATATTGACTTGCTATGCTTTCTCTCCACCCCTAACTGCTTCACATAGGAAGCTTCTATTCATCCTTCAAATATAGCTTAAAAATCACTTTAAAAAATCTGTATTCTTAGGCATTTTATAAGTAATTCTGTTGTGGTTTTATTCTTGTTAAATTATACATTGTCTATGTGTAGTCCTATTTGAACTCACAGCAGCATTGATACCTGATACTTTTTTTTAAAAACCTATCTCCTTTCTGGGCGTTTGTTCCAACAAGCTTTTATTGCTTTAAGCCCCACCTCTGTGGTTCCTATCTCTAGTAGACTCAGTGGCTCAGTGGGCTATATCTGTCTGGTAAATACTCAGATTCCCCCAAACTCTATATATTCCTCCTAGAGCATTTAATTCACACTCACAATTTCAGTTGCTGTTTGTGTATCAGTGTCTTCCAGATTTATATATCCCTATCTTTCTTGAGTTCCAAACTCAATGTTCAGTTGCTTTCGTGGTATCATCCCTTGGGTATTCCAAAAGCAACTCAACTCAACATTTCCAAATTTGCATTCATGTTCTACTTTTCAACCCTGAATCTTCAGTATTTCCTGTTGTGGGGAATGTCATCACAATTTATTCAGTTCTACAAGGCACAAACCAAGAGCTCTTTTATTCCCCCACATCCAAAGTATCACTGAGTTGTATAATTGTACTTCTTGAATTTCTTTTTTTTTTAGAGGTTTTTGCTATAGGGCGCATGCGCTCACCAGACAGACAGAGAGACAGAAAGCGAGAAATCACCCCCCAAGGGGGGATTGCCATGCTGCAGTCCCTTCTCCTGCATTCTCCTCTCGGGATCTTGGAAACACACACACGCGTGCCCAGTGTGAGTTTTAAGCCACTGAGTCCAGGACACGAACAGGTGTCGACTACGTGGGAGTCCAGCGACGTAGCCATTATGCTAACTGCTGGTCCCTTGAATTTCTTTTAAAACCATCTATTTTCCCAATTTCACTGCAGCTACCAATTTGTAAATGGCATTATCTCTCATATTGCTGACTGGACTGTTACAATGGCTTTCTTCATCTCCATACATACCTGTTCAATCCACCTTCTGTATAGCTAGCTAGGAAACACTTTCTGTTTCACATAGAATCATACTATCCTCTCGGTTACACAACCAAAGGTATTCCCATTACTTTTGGGAATGTGCACCAATGCTTTCAATGTGTTCTCTGAAGCCTCAAATAGTATTTTCATTGCATCTCTCAGCAACATTATCTTAAACTATTTTCTCTTGTTCTTACTTTAGCCTCAGTGGCCTTTTTTGAGTTTTCTGATAAACTATGTTCCCTCTAGAAACAGAGCCTTTTCTTGTGTGAAGATTTTGTGTAAGTAATAATTTCTATTTAACCATCAGCTCTAAACCCAGATGTCATTTTCTCATGAAATCTTTCCCAGACGGTCAAGGCGAGCAGTCTTTGTTAACCTTTGTTCCTAGTGACCCATTTGTCATACATGATATGAATTTTATGTTTGTTTTTGTAATCACTTGATGTTTAGCCCCGTGCCAGACATTAAATACAATAAGAGCAAGAGAGCAATCTTCCAAAGGATTCTCAACACTTAAACAGGGTGTCTGGATAGGTATTATGGCCAGTATTACTTGTTGAATGAATAAATAAATGAATGCTTACCCTTTAAGCTATAAGCATTGCATTTTTATGGGGTCCATGGTATTCTTCTTAACATTCATTCAGAGTCCAAAACAATGATTGGCACACCATAATACTATGATATGTATTTGTTAAATGAATGAAAAATTGGGGCCATGAGGTGGTGTGGTAGTTAAGGTGCTAGATTCCTACATAGCTAACTACAGTTTGAGTCTCAGACCTGGTGGCTTGAAAATCACACCAGACACATGTGTGTTAGTGCCCAAAATCCTGAAAAGAGAATGGAAGAGAAGAGGTTGTGGCATACTCATTTCCCCAGGGGGTGACTTCTCACTTTCCCTTTCTGTCTCTCTTTTCAGTGAGTGCACCTGCCCTATGTCAAAAACAAAACAACAACACAAAATGAAGGTAAAATTAATGACAATGAGGACAGGTTATCAGTAGAGTTTGGTCTTAGTATCAGTATATGGATAACATTACTGTTAGGTTATTATCTTGCATTTTCACTTCATAAAACCTGTTATATTTTTTCTTATTTTTATATATTTTAATTTCTTTTATGCATTAAAACACTATACATTACTTAGCTAGTAAAGTAAAATTTTCAACATTAATACATCTCACACCAGCTGGGGATACTATACACATTATTATCAACAGATAATAATCCATTTCTATGACCATAAATCTTACTTCTCTATTTTTCTCCTTAATGTCTTTCCTCAGACTCTTCCTCTTCCACCCTCCTCTCACACTGTGTTCAGTATCTATAACCATTTTCCATGATTCTATATCCTCTAATCTTTTAGTTTCAGCCATAGAGTGTGAGTAGTTGGTATATGTTAAGTGGAGACATACAATGTCAATTCTTCATAGCCTGAATTGCTTAATATAGCAGTAAATCTTCTATATTCATCCACTTTCTATGAAAAAAACAGGGTCTTGTTATTTTTTATGACTGAATAGTATTCCATAGAGTATATTTGCCATACTTGTTCATTCCATTATTCTATTCATGGACATTTGGGTTGATTCCATGTCTTAGAAATTGTGAATAATGCCACAGTAAACATAGATGTGCAAGCACTTTTCTGACTAAGCATTCTTCTGTCCTTTGGGTAGATATCCAAGAGTGGGATTGCTGGATCATATTAAAGTTCCTTGAATAGATGTTTGAGGAACCTCCGTATTGTTCTCTACAGTGGCTGGATCAATTTACATTCCCACCAGCAGTGTAGAAGAGTTCCACTTTCTCCACATGCCTGACAGAACTTACAATTTTCTTTTTTTTTTTTTTTTTAATCTTTCCCATTCTGACTGGGGTTCCCTGGTTTTGATCTGCATCTCCCTTATGATGAAGGATATTGAACATTTTTTTTCATATGCCTTTTGGCTGTCTGTATGTCTTCCTAAGTTGTTTTTTCTCATCTTTTAATTGGGTTGATTTTTTTCTTTTTTGGGGTAAGCCATTTGAGTTCCTTGTGTATTCTGGTTATCATTCACTTATCTGAATCATTATTTACAAAAATATTCTCCCATTCTGAGGGTTGTTGATTCACACTGTGCTTTTTGCTGTGCAGAAACTTCTTAATCTGCTGTAGTTCCACTTGTTTATTTTTGGGATTATTGACTGGGTTTTGAGGGGGTCTTATTTAAAAAGTCTTTGCCTACCCTAATGTCTCCCAGAGTTTCCACAGTGTTCTTCACCAGAATTTTAGAACATGTTATATTTCTATTGGGATCAAAAGTGGGTTTTGAGCCTGTAAAGAGGTGGCAAAGAGCTTACCCATTTCTTCATTGTTGAATCTGGTAGGGTTAATCATTAGTAGGACCAACTCCTGTGATATGAAATAATTTGGTTGCAGTTGGAACAGACAGAAAAATGTTACATTCTGAAACTCTCATTCTAGTCAGTGCAAGACTTCAAACCCA